TGTTTCTGTGGGTGTAAATGTGTGTGGTTTGTGGAACATGAGCATTTCTCCACTTCTTGGGGCAAAGGTATTTAGCTCATGTACTCTGAAATGTGTTCTTTAAAGTACAGATACAAAATGTCAATTGACAGATGGAAATAAACGAGCCATCACTTCTCCTCACAAAATGCCTTGCAAAGAAAATATAGTTTAAGGACCAGCATAAGACTGAGCGAGTCTCTGTGTCTTGAAGTTTCATCTGCAGCAGACAAACCATCTCATTCCTCCACATTCTCTGACAGCATCCCTATCATTTCCCTCTTGCTCATTCCCCTCACCACATGGCTTCCTTTTGAGCCTCGATTACCTGAGACAAATGCCAACCTTAGGACCTTTGCACCAGCTCTTTCCCATGCAGGATATGCACTCTCCCAGATATCTCTCTAGACAGAGTGTGTTTCTTGAGGTCTCTATTCAAATGACACCTTTTTTTCCAGATTTTTCTCAATTCTATTTAAAATAACACACACACATCTACTCTCTTTTATACATACTCTCTTTTTTTTTTTTTGAGCACATGAGCATCTAACAATGTGTATGATTTCTCAATTCCTTGTATTCTTTCTCTATCTTTGGATTGTAGGGACTTTTTATATTTTTTTTTTAGGTGGGGCAATCCTTGGTTGACCTCACAGGTAGCAAGGACCTTGTCAGCTTACAATCCCTTATTTTTGATGCCCACAGCACCTAGTCTTCCTAGGTGGTCTCCCATACAAGTGCTAACCAGGCCAGACCTTGCTTAGCTTCCAAGATCAGACAGGATCGGGCTTGTTCAGGTTAGCATGGCCATAGACTGTAGGAACATTTGTTTGCCAGCACCCTGTTCTCCTTGATGAGAGAAAGGTCAGGATTTAGCACATATTTCTCAATGAGTGTGGTATAACATCATTTTCTCAGGGATAAATGTATGAAGAAAGTGGACCAATAGTTATAGCATAAGTAGGATTTTCTGTAATATGTCTGGAGAGGGCTTTCCATGTTGAAAACAGAACAGAACTAGGATTAGTGTACCCAGCAGATGCGTCATGAAAAAGGTCAAAACTCAAAGCCAAGAATAACAAAAAAGGATACCACATGAAAAATGAGAGTAGGATTAGCCTTATCCACTAAGGGCCATATAAAAACAAGAGTGATCAAATAAACATGAAAGAATTTCTCATGAAATGTGTGTAAAACTGATTTGTTTGGCAAATTGCTGATAGTGGGACAGGAATTCCTATTTAGAAATGCTGGGGGAAATTATTTAAAAGGAATTAAATCTGCAGAAAACCATGTATGTATCATATATATGTTTTACGGCAAAATATAAATTGTAACATTTCAAGATGCTATTAATGCCCATGTTTGTTAATTAATTATTTAATTTTTTATTTCCTAGTCATAACCACCAACACATGGTACCAGAAAATTATTCACGGATTACAGAATTTCTTCTACTGGGATTTTCAGAGGAACAGGAACTGCAGCCCCTCATATTTGGGCTCTTCCTCTCCATGTATCTGATCACCATGTTTGGAAACTTGCTCATCATCCTGGCCGTCAGCTCAGATTCCCACCTCCACAAGCCCATGTATTTCTTCCTCTGCAACCTGTCCTTCGTGGACATCTGTTTCACTTCTACCACCATCCCAAAGATGCTGGTGAACATCCAGACCCAGACGCAAGTCATAACCTATGGAGCCTGCATCACACAGATGTATTTTTTTATGCTCTTTGCAGTGTTGGATGACTTCCTCTTAACCATGATGGCCTATGACCGCTTTGTGGCCATCTGTCACCCCCTGCACTACATGATCATCATGAACCCCCGGCTCTGTGGACTGCTGCTTCTGGTGTCCTGGATCACGAGTGCCCTCTATTCCTTGTTACAAAGCTTAATGCTGTTGCGACTATCTTTCTGTACAGTCTTGAAAATCCCCCACTTTTTTTGTGAAATCAATGAGATGATTAAACTTACCTGTTCTGACACCTTTCTTAATAACCTGGTGATGTATTTTGCAATTGGACTGTTGGCTGCTCTTCCCCTTACTGGCATCCTTTACTCTTACTTTAAGATAGTTTCTTGCATTCGTGGAATGTCGTCAGCTCAGGGGAAGTATAAAGCATTTTCTACCTGTGTGTCTCACCTCTGTGTTGTCTCCTTATTTTACTGTACAATTCTAGGAGTGTACCTCATCTCTGTCTCTACCCATAGCACACACTCAAGTGCAATAGCCTCAGTGATGTACACTGTGGTCACGCCCATGCTGAACCCCTTTATCTATAGTCTCAGGAACAAAGACATAAAGGGGGCTTTGAAAAGATTCTGTGGGATGGCAGCTATAAAAGGGACAACTGTTTTAGGGCTGAAGAACTCCCAGTGATTGGAGGACTAAAAGACTTGATGCCAGAAAATGTGGAAATACAATGTGTCTCTTCTATGTATTAGCTTGAATTTCCATTTACTTAAATCGCCTTCTGTGTACAATGTAAGTAATTCAGTTTATCATGCTTTCTCCTCTAATATATGGACATTTTCCTCCCTTGAACATTTTCCCACCCTTAAAAAGTTTTATCCAAATTTGAACCAAACTATTTGGAAATTTTCTTTTATTTTGTGAATTTGTATGGATTTCATAAGAAAAATTTCTTCTGAAATGATCATGTGATCTCAAGAATTTTATTTTATGTTACCGAAAGAATACTCATGGGTTATATAACTCACATATAGTAAACTATGCTTGTTGACTAAGTTCATTAACATGATATTTTATAAAAAACAGAAATATACTGTCACTTCGGGTCTGTCATTCTATTTAATTTCACTCCCTTTCCTGGTCTTTCTGATAATGTGGACTTTATCATTCTGTTGGTTTTTTTTTAACTGGACTCTTACTTTTTTACTGTTATTGAGTTCAGCATCTACAGTGCCTATCATAGTCCCTAACAAAAATTGATTGTCAAATATATATCTCCAGGTAGAGAGGTCAGGAAAATGCAAATTCGATAAATCGATTCACCTAATATGATCTTTAGAAAGAAAGAATTGATCTTGAATATGCGGAAGCATTACTCAGTTGATTAGTATGCAAAATATTTCTTTTTCATGCTGTAATCTACTTCTGAAGTATAGAAGATGAATGAGGGCCTGTTTTCATTGAAGTGAAGGATGGTTGGTGTATTTACGTTTTATTACTAAACTACCTTCCTGTTTGTCCTCCAAAATTTCAGTCCTGTCTACAAGTATGATTTCTATAAACAAAATATCTCCACTTTTCTTAACCACTACATGGATAGTGAATGAATATCCATATCATCCATTTCATACTTCTTTATATGCAGGAATCATTGCCATCTTCATGACATGAATGTGGCTCACAGGAGAGCTTGAATTCCTGCCTTGTCATATGATTCAGTGTCAGCAGGGTTTCTGCTAAGATATACATCTTTCTGACCTCCCCATGGTTATCCGAAAGCAATCCTCAATAGAGCCAATTGTTAATCTAGTTATCCAAAACAAACTTGAATAACAAAATTGTCATAGATGCTATGTCCAAATATCACAACATATGCCAAAAATTTTAAAAAGAGCAGCTTATTATAATTGCTTTTAGTTTGATTGCCTTGATTATTGTATCAGTTAGTTAATGCTGTATAACAAACTGTCCTAAATGCTATGATTTATATCAAATGGGATTATATGATGGGAGTTGTTCTGATCTCTGTTCAGATACTCATGAGTCTGCAGTAGCTGGAATTTGTACACTGTGTGTCTATAGCTCATCCATGATGTTGTGGGAGGCTATAATGCACCCCAGTCTTGAACCAATTTATGATGGTTTATTTACATAAGTACTATAACCTTGTTTACCAAAAAAATGAGTTTACCAAATATAATTTGTGACAAATTAATACCACTATTTTTTTATATCCATATAAAACACTTTACTTTCTATCAAATGATATTTCTCTCTCCTCCATTAAAGTGTGACTCAAGCTACCTGTGATCTACATCCTACCTTGAATGAAGCATCACTAGATTTTTTTCCTGCTTGTTATTTGATTGGAGTATAATTGCATGCAATATAGTGCAGATATTTAAGGTGTACAAGTTGCTGGATCAAAGGGACCTAACAAATTAAGAGCATATATTGAATGGGTCTATTTACACATCATTCAAAGAACTGTACGAAAGCTTTAACTGCATTGTTACATATCTGTGAAAAAATGGAATCTCCCTGAGCCTGTCTCCTTATTTTTTTTCTCTTTTCCCCTCATCTACCTCTCTCCCTCTCCTCTCCCCTATCCTCTGGTAACAGCTACTCCATTATCCATGTCCATGAGTCTCTATTTGCTTGTCCTGTTTATTTGTTGCTTTTAGGTTTTTATCCCACATATAAGCGATATCATGTGGTTTTCAACTTTTTCTGCCAGGCTAATTTTGCTTAGCATGATTATCTTGAGGTCCTTTCATGTTATCAAAATGGCAGTATTTCATCACTTCTTATGGCTGAGTGTTATTCTATTGTATATAAGTACCACAGCTTCTTTAACCAATCATTGATCATAGAACACTTCAGTTGCTTTCATGTCCTGGCCACTGTGAATAACATCGGCGTGCAAATCTTTTAGATATGAATTTTCAAGTCTTTTGGCTAAATACCCAGTATAGGGATTGATGGATCATATAGTAGATCAATTCTTAGTTTTTTTTGAGGAACCTCCATACTGTTTTCCATAAGGGCTGTAGCAATTTGCCTTCCAACAGCACTGTATGTGTGTTCCTTTTTCTCCACATCCTCTCCAACACTTGTTATTACATGTCCTGTTGATGATAGCCATTCTAAAAGTTATGGGATGGTATCTCATTGTGGTTTTGATTTGCATTTCCTTAATAGCTAGTCAAGTTGGCCATTTGTATTTATTCTGGGGAGAAGTGTCTGTATAGGTCCTCTGCCCAATTTTTAATTGGATTGTTTTTGTTATTGAGTTTTATGAGTTCTTGATATATTTTGAGTATTAGTCCCTTATGAGAGGGGTTGTCTGCAAATATATTTTCCCATTTGGATGATTGTCTCTTTGCTTTGTTGGTGGTTTCTTTTGCAGTGCAGAATTTTTGGTTTGATATGGTCTCATTCATTTATTTTTGCTTTTATTTCCCTTGCCTTTGAAATCAAATTCATAAAATCCCCTTTAAGTACAAGATTTATGAGTTTAGTAGCTATGTTTTCTTATGTCCAATTTATTGTTTCAGGTCTTATATTCAGTTCCTTAATTCATTTTGACATAATTTTGGTGTATGGTGATAAACAAAAGTCTAGTTTCATTCTTTTGCAGATGGCTTTCCAGTTATCCCAGCACCATTTGTTGAAGAGGCTTTCCTGTTTTCAATGTATGTTTATGACTTTTTTTGTCAAAAATTATTTTCCCATATAAGTATGGATTTACTTCTGGACTCTTGATTCTATTCCACTGGTCTGTGTGTCTGTTTTGCTGCCAATATCATGCCGTTTTGATTACTGTCCCTTTGTAGTATAATTTGATGTCAGGCAGAGTGATGTCTCCAGCCTTGTTCTTTTTTTTTTTTCTGGATGGCTTTGACAATTCGGGATCTTTTGTTCTTCCATACAAATCTGATCATTTTTTGTTCTATTTCTTTAAAAAAATGCCGATGGCATTTCGATGAGGATTGCATTATACAAATTTAATGCAATCCTCATCAAAATGCCATCGGCATTTTTTAAAGAAAAATCTGTATTTAAATCTTTATCACTTCTTTGCATCTTCTTGGGTTCTTTTAATAGGATCTTGTAGTCTTTATTATATGTTTATGTTTCCTTAAACTTTTTCCAAGGTATTTTATTCTTTTTGTTGCAATTGCAAAAATGATTTATTTTTTCCACTTCTTTTTCTCACACTTCATTATTAGAGTATAGGAACGCTATGGATTTTTAACATTAACTTTGTATCCAGAAACTTTACTGTATTTGCTTATTGTTTCTAGTAGTGTTCCTGTGGTGTCTTTATTTTCTACATAGAGAATGATGTCATCTGCAAATAGTGACAGTTTGACTTCTTTGTTTCCTATTTGGATGCCTTTTATAGCTTTCTCTTGTCTGATTGCATTCGTTAGGACCTCCAATGTTATATTGAATAACGGTGGTGATAGTGAACACCCTTGCCTTGTTCCTGATCTAGATGAAAGTTTTTAGTTTTTCATCATTAAGTACAGTATTGGCTGAGAGTTTGTCACATATGGACTTTATCATGTTAAGATATTTTACTTCTATACCAATTTTGTTAAGTATTTTGATCATAAATGGATGCTGTATCTTGTCAAAGGCTTTTTCTGCATCTATTGATATGATCATAGGATTCTTATTTTTAATGTGTTTATGTGGTGTATCATATTAATTGATTTGCATATGATGAGCCATCCCTGTTCCTCTGAGATGAGCCCACTTGATCGTGGCGTATAATCTTTTTAATATGTTGCTGTATTCAGTTCGCTAGTATCTTATTTAGGATTTTGTGTCATGAGAGATATTGGTCTGTAGTTTTATTTTTTTCTGTTATCTTTACCAGGTTTTGGTATCAGGGTGGTATTGGCATTATAAAATGAGTTGGGATGTGTTGCCTCCTATTCAATTTTTTTGGAAGAGTTCGAAAAGAATAAGTATTAAATCTTTAAATTATTGGTAGAATTCACAGGTGAAGCCATCTGGTCCTGGAATTTTACTTTTTGGTAGGTGTTTGATAATTGTTTCAATTTCCATACTGCTGATTGGCCTTTTCAGATTTTCCAGTTCTTCTTGATTCAGTATAGGTATGTCATATCTTCTTAACTACTGGTCCATTTATTCTAAGTTATTAAATTTGGTGTTATATATTTTATATAGTATACTTTTATGATCCTTTGTATTTTTTGTCCCTGATTTTTTTTTGTTTGTGTGTCCTTTCTCTTTTTTCATTTGTGAATCGAGCCAGGTGGTTGTCAATTTTATCAATTTTCTGAAAAAACCAGCTCTCTGTTGCATTTATTTTTTCTATTGTTTTTTTTTTTTCAATCTCATTTATTTCTTCTCCCATTTGATTATTTCTTTCCTTCTACTTACTTTAGGCTTTATTTATTCTTCTTTTTCTAGATTTTTAAGATGAAGCATTTTGTTGTTTATTTGGGCTTGTACTTGTTTTGGGAGATAGGCCTGTAATGATATGAACTTTCCTCTTATGACCGCTTTTACCATGTCCCAAAAGTTTTGGTATGTTGTGCTATCATTATTATTCGTTTCTATGTATCTCTTGATCTCTTTCTCTTTTAAAAAAAATTAAATTTATTTGAGTAACATTGGTTAATATAATTATATAATTTTCAGGTGTACAT